GACCAGCTAAAGAAGTGGTCAAATCCCCTCAAAAACCAGCCTGCTGACCCGCTCTGACCAGGCTGGATGACCAGCTAAAACCAGGTAACCTGTGAAAAAGGCCTATTACACTGTATCACAGCCCTACTGTTTTTGACCCCACTTTATTCACTCGGCAAACATCTTCCCCTCCACAAACACTTGGTCAGTCGAGTGTGTCTGTATTTGCGAACACCTGAGATGACTGACCTGTTCAATATTACTCAACCTGTCCTGTGGCCACACGTGCATGCACCCACATAAACAAGCCTGCATTCCTCAAACTCACATCCCGCTCAGCCCCGCTGCTCCCCTCACGGAGGGTGTGTCCACACGGAAGTTTCAGTAATGGAAGAGCAGGTTTTTCAAGTCTCCAGTGGACATTGAAAAGACGCGCCCGTGGCTCCGTTACTCCACTCATTCCTCTAGACGAGGATAGCGGGAGCGCGACCATGGCAGCAGCCACGCAGCAGATGTCGAGTCTGCCCAGCGGACTCCGGATCTGTACCACCGTACCGGACATCCTCTACCTGCCCGAGCTGGTGCGTGAACGGAAAATTTAATGCGCAAAAATGACCATGATTTAACATAGTTTTATTCGGTTTTTGTTAAGATTATTTGGGACCACTTAAACTGACGCCTTCAGAATATGTGTCATTTTCTTAGCTTCCATATTTTTTTTCTACCTTTTTAATTCTTGGTCATTTTTTATATTTATATTTAAATATAAAATATTAATATAAAATATACGGCAGTTTTTTTTGTTTTTTGGTATTACTATATTAGCGTTTGAAGAAAAAATGGAAATAGCAGAAAAGCGAAACAGGCGAAAATAACAAAAATTCACCTTTTTTCACCGTCACGGCTTCATTAAACTGTATTGACAAAAATTGTAAACATATGCTACTGTTATTTTACTGAAATAGTTCGGTTTTTGGAGTAAATATTTTTACAGTTCCAGGACAAATTTGATAAACTACATTATATGTTTTCAAAACGTACATGTATTGGTGGTTACTCCTCATTTATTTATATTAGGCTAAATGAGAGTGGAACGGTTTGGAGAGAAAAGTGGTATAATGCTTTACCCAATATTATGAATTATTTTAATTTATTATAAATTAAGTAAGGAATAATTGACGACGGGCCGTTGAATTACGCGGAGTGGCTGTTACACCTCGGGTGTGCATTATTTTTCTAATAATTCAACGGCCCGGAGTCAATTATTCCGCTTATACTACGGTTACCACACCTCAAGACATCGATCAGATGATATATTTAAAAGGATTCGTCCGGTTTTTGTACTTAAATCGCTATTGTGAGTAGGATTATTTC